GGGGGAGCGAAAGAGGTAAAGGGGGACATTTGTATAGTGACAGATGGATACCAGACTTTTGGTAGTGAACATGGTGTAGTCTATATAGAAGTCAAAATACAATGACGTACACCTGAAGTTTATACATTATAAGCTAATGTTAACTCAATTTAAAAAAAATAATATTCTAGAGACAGTACACTGGGATCTCAGCATGCAGTGGGCTATGCAGTGGCAAGTCAGGGAAATGTCCACACCCACAGGGTGTGACAGGGATGAATTAATGACAGTCTCTTGCTGGGTACTGCAGAATTCCAAGCTACTCCAACTTCAAGACAAGACCAAAGAGAGATCATACTCAGTATCATGCAGCACTGCTTATACACAGCACACATTTTCCAACCAGTCTCTTTCCGGACTGCAATTTCTGCAGTGGAACAGACAGAATTCACCAAGACTAGTACCGTCTCTGTTAGAAACATCAAAGCGTGGACTATGGGACACTGGACTAGCCTTCCTGAAGCAACCCTTCCAAAAGAGGTAATCGTTGTCTGTGTCTCCCTCAACATCCTAGTTGTCTTTACTAGTAGGTCATGGCTTATCATCCATGATGTTATCTAAACTCTCTTTTATACTCAACTTACGTAACTCATTAAAGGAATTTTCAATAACTTATTCATGCACCATGGGATGGTATATTTCTTGACATCTTATCGCTTTCTAGGGCAAAGAAGTCCCGCCATTCATTCCTTTGATCCACGGCATAGCCTTCTTGGGCCTTTCTTCAGGTTCATTATGTGACCAAAACGATATAAGCATTCCAAGAACAGACACACCCTGCTTTTAGACAAGGGCACCTCCTCACCTTATTCCAAAGCTCTTCTGTATGGTATGTGTACTTGCTTGACATTTTTTTGGCGACAATAGCAAACTGAAATGATCTCTAGACAGAAGTGTTACTAAAAACTACTCAGCATAGTGTAATTGTAATTGTTTGCCCCCAAAACAATCACCTTAAATTTTCCTCTATTGAAACTCAACAGTCACTGTTCCAACCTCTAAGCTTGTATTTTATACCCTCTCCCTTTCTCACATAACAAAGGCCTGAAGTCTATGGAAAACCCAGTCAGAGGTCTTTTTTTGTGTGTATATGGGGAAGATTAGCCCTGAGTTAACGTCTGTTGGAAATCCTCCTCTTTTTGCTGAGGAAGATTGGCCCTGAGCTAATATCTGTGCCCATCTTCCTCTACTTTATATGTGGGATGCCTGCCACAGCATGGTTTGATAAGTGGTTCATAGGTCAGTGCCTGGGACCCAAACCCGCGAACCCCAGGCCGCCAAAGCGAAGCGTGCAAACTTAACCACTATGCCACCGGGCCGGCCCCCTCAGTAAGAGGTCTTTACCCTGTCTTCTCCTGCCAGGAGTTTGAATTGAGTTGTGTTACATGCATTAAAGTCACCTATAAACATATTTCATAACAGTCTATTCATTACCTAGAACTAAATCTAATATATTTTCCTTTCTCATGGATTCTTTCCTTCTATGAAGCAGCCATTTATCCTTCTAAAAATCTAATCCACACATCTTGTTATGATAATAAATATTTCACTCTATATTTGGATAATATTCCTCTGTCTTGCTAAATCATATCGTTTTCCACAATATTAAAGAATTGGGTTTCACTCCTCAGGTCAAATTATCTTCCATGTCTGCTATCAACACATTTCTAGTACTTAAATATAGAATTTCATTTCTTAAATACAAAAACCCTTTCATAGACTGTTCTGCATACTTATTCATAGGCCCCCCACGCCCATGAGGGGTAATTTCTATTTCTGTGGCTCCACTGTGTAACCAAAGATTCTGGTTTTTGTGTTTTAGGCAAACACTAATCTGTACTTTTTAAGCTGTATCACTTTGCTCATGCCACAGCCACCCTCTGAGATTTCCAAGGCATCTGTATGGATTAAAGTCCTACATTCTGGTTTGCCCCATACAGCAACTTTAGGTAAACTCTGGTGCCCCTACTACTAACAGGACTGCTTTCCTAAATTCTTACAATCTCCCTGGCCAGTTCTCAATTAAAAATCTCTTCTATAAATAGAGAATTTGAATACACCAATCACAAGTAAAGAGATTGAAACCGTAATCAAAAACCTCCCAAAACATTAAAGTCCAGAACCAGATGGCTTCCCCGGAGAATTTTACCAAACATTCAAAAAAGTTGTAATACCTATCCTTCTCAAACCATTCCAAAAAATAGAGGAAAATGGAACACTTCCTAATACATTCTACGAGGCAAACATCACCCTGACACCAAAGCTAGACAAGGACAATACAAAGAAGAAAAATTACAGGCCAATATCGTTGATGAATATAGATGCAAAAATCCTTTGCCAATACAAAATATTGGCAAACCGAATACAGCAATACTTTATTTATTTATTTTTTGTGTGAGGAAGATCAGCCCTGAGCTAACATCCATGCTAATCCTCCTCTTTCTGCTGAGGAAGACCGGCTCTGAGCTAACATCTATCGCCAAGCCTCCTCCTTTTTTTTTTTCCCCAAAGCCCCAGTAGATAGTTGTATGTCATAGTTGCACATCCTTCTAGACAGCAATACTTTAGAAAGATCATACACCATGATCAAGTGGGATTTATACTAGGGACACAGGGATGGTTCAACATCCACAAATCAATCAATGTGATACATCACATTAACAAAACAAGGAATAAAAACCAAGTGATCATCTCAATAGATGCAGAGAAAGCATATGACAAGATCCAACAACCATTTATGATAAAAACTCTCAACAAAATGGGTGTATAAGGAAAGTACCTCAACATAATAAAGGCCATATATGACAAACCCACAGCCAACATCATACTTAACAGGGAAAAACTGAAAGCCATTCCTCTGAGAACATGAACAAAACAAGGTTGCCCAGTCTTGCCACTCTTATTCAACACAGTACTGGAGGTTTTGGCCAGAGCAATTAGGCAAGAAAAAGGAATAAAAGGAATCCAAATAGGCAACAAAGAAGTGAAACTCTCACTGTTTGCAGACGACATGATTTTATATACAGAAAACCCTAAAGAATCCACCAGAAAGCTATTAGAAATAATCAACAACTACAGCAAAGTTGCAGGGTGCAAAATCAACTTACAAAAATCAGTTGCATTTCTATACTCTAATAAAGAACTAACAGAAAGAGAACTCAAGAATACAACCCCATTCACAATCACAACAAAAAGAATAAAATATCTAGGAATAAATTTAACCAAGGAGATGAAAGACCTATACAATGAAAACTATAAGACATTATTGAAAGAAACTGACGATGACATAAAGAAATGGAAAGATATTACATGCTCATGGATTGGAAGAATAAACATAGTTAAAATGTCCATACTACCTAAAGCAATCTACAGACTCAATGCAATCCCAATAAGAATCACAATGACATTCTTCATGGAAATAGAACAAAGAATACTAAACTCCATATGGGGCAACAAAAGACCCCGAATAGCTAAAGCAATCCTGAGAAAAAAGAATAAAGCTGGAGGCATCACGATCCCTGACTTCAAAATATACTACAAAGCTATAGTAATCAAAACAGCACGGTACTGGTACAAAAACAGACACACAGATCAATGGAACAGAATTGAAAGCCCAGAAATAAAACCACACACCTACGGACAGCTAATCTTCAACAAAGGAGCTAAAAACATACAATGGAGAAAGGAAAGTCTCTTTGATAAATGGTGCTGGGAAAACTGGACAGCCACATGGAAAAGAATGAAAGTAGACCCTTTTCTTTCACCATACACAAAAATTAACTCAAAATGGATCAAAGACTTGAAAGTAAGACCTGAAACTATAAAACTCCTAGAAGAAAATATAGGCAGTACATTCTTTAACATTGGTCATAGAGAGATCTTTTCAAATTTCATGTCTACTTGGACAAGGGAAACAAAAGAAAAAATAATCAAGTGGGACTTCATCAAACTAAAGAGCTTCTGCAAGGCAAATGAACCCAGGATCAAAATGAAAAGACAACCCACCAGCTAGAAGAAAATATTTGTAAATCATATATTGGACAAGGGGTTAATCTCTATAATATATAAAGAACTCACATAACTGAACAACAAAAAACAAACAACTCAATCAAAAAGTGGGCAGAGGATATGAACAGACCTTTTTCCAAGGAAGATATACAGATGGCCAGTAGGCACATGAAAAGATGTTCAACATCACTAATCATCAGGGAAATGCAAATGAAAACTACACTAATATATCACTTTACACCCAGTAGAATGCCTATAATCACAAAGACAAAAAATAACAAATGTTGGAAAGGCTGTGGAGAAAAGGGAACCCTCACTCACTGCTGGCAGGAATGCACAATGGTGCAGCCTCCATGACAAACAGTATGGAGATTCCTCAAAAAATTAAAAATAGAAATACCTTATGATCCAGCTATTCCACTACTGGGTATCTATCCAAAGAACCTGAAATCAACAATCTAAAGAGGCTTATGCACCCCTATGTTCATTGCAGCAGCCAAGAAGTGGAAGCAACCCAAGTGTCCATTGACTGATGATTGGATAAAGAAGATGTGGTATATTTATACAATGGAATACCACTCAGCCATAAAAAAAAGACAAAATCGTCCCATTTGCAACAACATGGATGGACCTAGAGAGTATTATGTTAAGTGAAATAAGCCAAACAGAGAAAGACAAACACCATATGATTTCACTCATACGTGGAAGATAAACTAATACAAGTACAGAGAGAACAGTTTGGTGGTTACCAAGGGGTTCGGGGGTGGGCACAAGGGGTGAAGGGGCATATTTTATATGGTGACTGACAAACAATAATGCACAACTAAAATTTCACAATGTTATAAACTATTATGACATCAATTAACAAAAAAGAAAAATCTCTTCTACCTCTAACATCTCTAGTAGTAATCTGGTGCTGGTGTTTCCCTCCCATATAGGCCCAGACTACTTACACAAGGTGCTGATCTCGGATCTTGCGCAGCTGGATCAGGTCAGGTTTGATACTGTTCATTTTTTTATCTATTTCTCGGTTGTCCAAAGCTTGTTTCTTCAAATCTTGCTCTAGACGCATTTTACTATCATGAATCTCACCCAGACGTGATTTCAATTTGTCATAGTTCATCATAATTCTGTGAAAATATTTGACATATTAATGCTAAAACAGGAACCAAGCAGAAGCATTCTATAGTGTGAGCATAGTCCTAAACTCTTAAGTGGTGGACATCTTCTGTGTCTGCATGGTCCATATCCATTCTCACTCTTCTGGGAAAACAGCACCCTGATGCTCCCTGTAGGTAAGGGTTCCCTGCCCCCATCTCAGATTCATGGGTGAACATCCACACAACCCAGCCTGACCAATAAAAGTATTCCATTCCATCCTATCCCTACCCTCAGGCCACAGTGACTGGTTTAGGAACAGGAATATTACCCAAACTGACCCAATTAGAGTCAATTCTACGACTTTTGCTAGAACCATTGTAAACAGAGGTTCTCTCTTTCCATTGGAATTGCCAAATTATGAATATGTGATTCTAAGACACCCAGCAGCTATGCTGCCATCTCACAGGGAAAGTGTGCCCAAGGATGAAGCCAACACAGAAAAACTGAGCCATAAGACAGAGTATGAGAGAGAATCCTGATGACCTTGTTTGGGCCCTAGATCCAGTCATGACTGAACAAGTAAAGCTATAGATATGATATATAAGAGGTAGCACAATAAATCAGTTAAGAGCAATGGCTTAGCAGTCGGCCTGCCGAAGTTGGAATCTCTGCCCTGCCACTTACTTCGTGGCTATGGGCAAGTTATTTAACTTCTCTGTGCCTTCATTTCCTCATCTGTTTAAAACGGGCACCTACAATAGTACCTACTTCACTGTGTTACTCTGTGAATTAAATGTGGTAATACAGGTAAAAGGACAAAACTGTGCCTAGTACATCTTGGTAGGCACTCAGTAGAGGATGGCTATAATCTTTTCCAGCACACAAAGTTTTGCTGTGCTCTGAACCCTTAAGGCAACAATTACCCACATTACTCATTCGCCACTCAATAATATGTGGTTCTATATTACTATTAAAACTTTATCACGGGCCGGCCCCGTGGCTTGGCGGTTGAGTGTGCGCGCTGCGCTGCTGGTGGGCCGGGTTCGGATCCCTGGCGCGCACCGACGCACTGCTTCTCCGGCCATGCTGCGGCTGCGTCCCACATACAGCAGCTGGAGGGATGTGCAACTATGACATGCAGCTATATACTGGGGCTTTGGGGGGGGAAAAAAAAACCTTATCATGCTACCACCTCCCTTTGCAACTAAACTATAAGTTCTTTTCTATTTCTTCATTATTAATAATAATAATAGCCATTTATTGATACCATATGCCAAGATACATACACACACATATGCCTTTCTGTACCATGAATATGTGTGTGTGTTTATGTGTATGTGTGTGTATCACTTAATTCTCACAGCACTTCAAGAAGATGTTAGCCACAGATTATGGAGGAGGAAACAGGCTAAGAGACTTAAGTAACTCACCCAAGGCCACACAGCTAGTAAATGGTCAACACAGAATTTAAGCCCATGTTTTAACCATTAAGCTATATTGCCTCACACCACTTAGCTCTATTCTTATGCACACAGAAGTTCACTAACACTTTAGTGCTAATATGAGAAATAATTTTGCTTTTCCCTTGCATGTGATTCATTTCCATTTACTATCCACTTTTTCACTTCTCAACACACTGTCATCTGGCTCAGTCTTCCAATATTCCACTAAATTTGCTTTGATAAAGGCTTCCAATATCCTTTTAGTTGCCAGATCCAATACTTCTCATGCTGCTCACTCTCTCATTGTAATCTCATTCTTAGCATCTACCATCACCTACACATTTATGCCTCCCAAATATTCTCTGTACCCCGAGTTCCAAATCCAAATAACCAGCTGCCTACCTCTCAGACAACTCCATTTGGATTCTCACAGGAACCTCAAACTCATCGGTTCCAACTCCAAACTCTCCTCATGTACTTCCTACGTTGGTGAATAACACCATCCCTTAGTGACTCATATAGAAATCGAGGAATAATCTTTGACTTCTCCCATACCTACTATATCTGGTCAGGCATCAAGTCCTCAGCATTTCTATTAACTCCCCCTCCTCTCCTGCCCTTGCTGTAGTTCAGGACCCCACCATCTTTTAACCTGATGACCACAAAGACTGCAGTCACCTGCAACAGTCAGGCTGGTTCTGCCTCCAATTTATTCTTAGACTGCTGCTGTTGACTTTCAGTTCAACAAATATTCAGTGAGCACCACTCCGTACTCTCAGGCACCATAATAGGTGCTGGAGCTATCAGGGACAGTAGCCACCATCCTTACTCTTAACAAGCTCGCAGTTTAGTGGGTGTAACATTCAGTAAATGTTACAGAAGAGTTCGAGACCAGATACTGTAGGGGTAGGAACAAAAGCCCCTAAACCAGTCTAGGGAATCAGGGAAGATTTTCTAGAAAAAGTCATGTGTAAGCTGAGTCCTAAAGGGCGAGCAGGAGCTAAAAATTTAGGAGGATGGAGAAAGAACACAGAAGAGAGGAGGTTCAGTTTGGTGCCATTAGTGGGAACAGCAAGTAGTTCCATAAGGCAGGAGTGTGAAGTTTGAGGGGCTAAAAGCAAACACGACAGAGATTACTGGGGAAGAAAAGAAGTCTTGTCTCACTGATGCATTTGGAGGCATTAGGCAGATTTACCGTTCAATTTCCTTTTCATTCCCTTCTCTGCGAAATCGCTCGATATATTCTTTGCTATGTTGTTCTTGCGTGTGACACTGCTCTTCAAATATTTTAATTGTTTCATTAAAAGCTTCAATTGCAGTCCTCTTCATCTGTATTTCCTATAGGAGAGAAAAAGAAAAGACATATACTTCACTACCTTCATTTTTTTTGTAACTTTGATCTTAAAACAAATCTTATAAGTTACAATTCCATATAAGACCGAATTAAGCGACAGCTAAAACAAGACCCTTTAACTCCTACCCTTATTACTTACATGCAAAATACATTATTGAAACTCTAAAATAAAAGAAAAATAACTATTACCTAAAATATAGCTGAGAACCACAGAAAGCCCTCTGAGTTGCTAAGAGAGATTAACCCTGAACACCTTGAAGACAAGGATAAAGTTCTGCCTTTGCACCTATTGTAGTGCTTACCTCCAAAAGGCACTAAAGGAGTGACTGGATAGAGTGGAAGAGTCTGGGCACCAAGATGCAAAGCCTTACTCCCAGAAGAGCCCTATAGAGTCTATTTATTCTTACTTTCATTTCTAAAGCCTGTAGTTTTCCAAGCAGATTCATCAGTAGATTAATCTGATTAGAAGCAGAAAATGAAAAAGGGAAGAATAGCTGATAAAATCAGATGCAGAATAAGATGAAAAAGTACAGCTCCACAGAACAAAAGCCCAGTAAGCTAAGCCATTCAGCACTAGGGTAAAGAGGCCTATCCATTTCGATGAGCTCTGAGGGTATTTGTAGACTTTAGCATCTGAATCATGATTCCCCTAAAATCTTCAAAGAGGGTTAAATTTTGTTCAATTTATTTCAGAAAGTCAAGGAATATGTGTAAAGGCCAGAAAGACTGCTATCCTGAATGCTTACAATTTTAAAAGTTTTGGTGCTTGCAGGATAACTCCTCAGTTTCAACAAATGATCACTGAGAATTCACTATATGGCAAGTACCATCTCGTGATAAATAAATTCATAAAACATGGAGCCTGCCCTCCAGGATTCAGAATACACAAGTGAAACAGATTTCTGAACCCTAACAAGGTTTTGTTTCACGTCATGGTAGAGGCAAACAGGTGGGGTGAATTAGTTATTTACTGCTTTACAGAGGCTTCATGGAGGAGGCAACATTTGAGCTAGGTCTTAAAGAACTGGGATAGAGAAAGAAAATGCAGCACTGCACATAGATGGCATGGCATGGCATATACATGAAATAACAGGGGCTGTTCAGGGATCAGCAATTGCTCAGTAGCTGGAACATATGGAGATTAGCAGATGAGGGAGGCTAGAACATTATGACGTTCCCTATAGTTGAAATTATATCTTACATATCTCAAATAGGACTGTAAAGTTAGTGAAATGCCCATATCTAAATATCTAACTACAAATTCTGCAATTCTCAAATTATAGTGGAAGGTCTTGGCCCCCTTGCAAGGTTAGAAATTACCTATCAAGTTCTGGTCCTGTATCTGCAAAGAAAACACCAATAATTTAGACTTTACTAACACTGGTATATGTGTTGATAGGTAAGGGAGCAAAGGAAAAAGTATTTGATATTACTGTCAAAGCAGCAGCCCCTCCATAAACAATGCCACTATCCCTATCACCAGAACTATACACCGACCTGTATCCACACCCCTTCTCTCTCTTCTCCCTTTATCTACATGTGCTCTAGGTCTCACCACTTCTTCCTTTCTCAGGCACTTTATTTCATCACATCAGCCAGCCTCTCTTACAACATTAACTTTCTCAGTCTAACAGTTCCTTCTCATCAGCATACAAACAAGCTCTAGTAACACTACTTTGAAAAAAATCCCTTAACCCTAAATTCTCCTCTAGTCACAGTTAGGCTTCTTGAAAGAGTTGTTTATATGGGCTGTCTCTCTTTCCTCATCTCTCATTCACACCCCAACTCATTCTATTCTGGCTTCTGTACTCAGCATTCCACAGAGACCACTCTTTCCAAGTCACCAATGATCTCATTGCCAAATTCCTGTCTCTCATCCCAATCCATCACTAAATCCTATCACTTTTCCTCCTAATTATATGTAATCCAGATGTCAAATATCTCCACATGCAGTCTATTCTCACCCCATGCCAACTCTAGCAGGACATACCATCTCTTCCCATTCTCTGGGAAGAATTCACTTACATCAAAGCAATCTAGATTTTATGTAAAATTTCAAGAAAAAGCAGAGAAGGTCTACAACACTTATAAACAGAGATGTCAATTCTTTAATCTCCCTTTAACACTTATTGTGCCAGCACATTTCCAGTGCTGCTAATCACTGCATCCCTCCCTCTCTTCCCTCACCTTCCAAAGCTTTAAGCCTCCATGGCTCTTCTCTGCTCAGCCCTATCTCAAGTCTTGCTCTCAATTCTCACACAGAGAAATTTAGTCGTCTTCTAGCTTCGACCTAGTGGTTTTTGGTTGCCTCCATCTACCCCCATACCCAGTTCCCCAACCAGCGAATCCAAGCCCAGAACCCAGTCTCATATCAGCTGCTCAGAACTCATATTCTGCTGTTAAATCCCCAATATTACTGAGCTTTTGGGCAGCACGTGGAGCTTTCTCTGCTTTCTCCAGCCATGACAAGAAAGCAGAAATGCAGCTCTGTAGAAGCCAAAGTCACATGCAACAAAGTCTACTTTTTCTAGGCTCTGTTTACAGGATGGTTAGCTCTCCCCTAGACTCCAGTTCACAGCATGAGTCTGACTCCAGGCCCCTGCCAAGAGTAGAGTGCTTTTGGTTCATTACCTTGCATAAATTCAGTCAACAAATAACTGAACACTAACTATATGCCAGGCATTATTTGAAACATTTGGAATACACAAGAGAATAAGCTTAGATAAAGATTTCTGCCCTCCTGGAAGCCCCTTTATAGTTTAGGGGATTACACGGACAATAAATAAGACATAATAACTAATTATATAGTCTGTTAGAAGAAGTATTATGTAAAAAAGAAAAGTAAAGTGAGAAAGGAAGATTGGAATGCAAGCTACAATTTTAAATAGAGTTGTCAGGTAGGCCTCATTGAGATGACAACATTTGAGCAAAGACTTGAAGGAGGTGAGGGGGTTAGACAAGTGACTATCTAGGGGACAAGTATTTTAGGCCAGGAAACAGCCAGTGCAAACTCTTGAAGGTAGGAAGCAGGTCTAGTATATCCAAGGAACAGCAAGGAGGCTAGAGTGGCTGGAGCACAGTGAGGAAGAGAGTTATAAGAAAGGAGGTCAGAGAGGAAGAGGGGCACAGATCATACTGGGCATTGTAGAAAGGACTCTGGCTTTTACTCTGTGTAAGATGTAGAACCAGAGATGGATCTTAAACAAAGGAGTGCTGTGATCTTACCTATGTTTTACAAGTATCACCTAGCTGCTATGTCGAGAATTGATCAGGGGGAGAGGAACATGTATAAGAGCAAGAAGACCAGTTAAAGGTTTCTGTGGTATATGAAAGCAAGAAATGATAATGGCTTAGATCAAGGTATTAGCAGTGGATATAGTGAGAAGGCACTAAATTCTGGGTATATTCTAAAAGTAAAGTCAACAGGAATTCTGCAAAGTGTAAAAGAAAGAGTCTAGGATGACTTCAAGGCTTTTGGCCTGAACAAGAAGAAGGATATGATTGCTCTCAACTGAGATGGGGAAGCAAAGGGTAGAACAGCCTTGAGGTGGAATATCAAAGTTCAATTTTGGACATGTTAAGTTTGGGATATCTAGTAAACATCCAAGTGAAGCTGCTGAATAGGCAGTTGGATATATGAGTTTAGAGTTAAGAGAAGTTAGAAGAACCAGAGATATAAGTTTGGGAATTACTGGCATATAGATGGTATGTAAACCCATGAGTCTGTCTGAGATCACCAGAGAGTGAATGAGTAACTAGAAAAGAGAAGAGGACCAAGATCAAAGAGGAGAAATCAACAAAGCAGACAGAAAGAACTACCAGGGAGGTCAAACTCCCAGTCACCTCTGCTTATCTTCAGATCTGGAAGTTCCATTTATGATTATTATTATGGGTTCTTGTTCCATCTCTGATCTACAGAAATATTCACATTGTTTTTGCATATAGCCATATGTTTTTAATGTTTATCATTTTTTAGTGTGAGATATAACAAGTAAAACACATAAAACAAATGCACAGCTTAACAAATTATTATAAAATGAACATCCACTACCAGCACCCCAGAAATTCCCGGTGTATCCTTTCTGGATCACAACTCCCTGCCTCTCCCCAATCCACCTTCCCTGCCTTGGTGATAACAGTATCCTGCCCTTTATGATGATCATTTCCCTGCAGTTTTACAGTTTTACCACTTCATGTTCTCATCCAAAATAAAAACGTTAACATTTGCCTGGTTTTGTACCTTATATAAATATAGACTCATATGTATTCTTTTGCATCTTTTGCTCAATATTCTTTGTGAGATTAAACATAGTGTTGCATGTTGCCCTTTAAATAAATATACGCACACAAATACAGTAATCCATTATTGCTTTGTTTGATGCAGAGGAAAGGGATTAAAGTACGCCATTTTGAATAAAGAGCTTTGTGTTTAACAAACATTGTCAGAGTACTTCAAACTTTTGAGGAATAGGGCCTCATCTCTCCCTTCGTGTTTCTAGAGTCAAGTATAGTATCATGTTTAGACTATGTGTTCAACAAATGTTTTTGGATGCCTATACTGGCCTTTCTTTACCTGATTCTCTGTTTCTGTCTCACACATACACACTCAGTCAAATCTGGCTGGGGTTCCCATTATCTCCATCTTGTAGATGGGAACTTGAAGCATAGATAGACTCTCAAGGGACATAACTAGTTTTTAACATAACAAGGATTAGAAAATAAATCTCATAAATTCCAATTCAGTTTATTTTATATATTTTTAAGAAGGTAATACATGCACACAGAAAAAAATAAATCAAACGATACAAAAGAATATATAGTAAAGAGTAAGTTTCCTATTCCTAGACTCTCACTGCCTTAATTATCCTCCCCAGAGAAGAGATTTAGTTTCTGACCAGAGATATTCTGAGCACATATAAACATATATCCTCCTCCACACATTTTCTTTCTTTTTTTAACCATAAATGACACTATAGCATGTACA